AGTTCAGTTCTTTTCGACATCATATTACTGCTTATGTACATGACGACCTCCGCCACGGATGATGCTGCTCGGCTGGTTTCAACCCGCTCCTCACCTACATCCGTACATGGCCCAGACCCACATCTCCCACCTGATGATCCTACTTCGGCATCGTATATTCCCAGGGCCGCTAGAATGATTCCAACCTCTACAACTGTTCATTCCGTATTTATCAAAAAGCTGAGCTATCCCTTGTCTTCTCGTCCGGATGAACTTTGGATCGTGGAAAGGACACTTGATGGTATTGAAACGTGGAAGCCAGTTGAAACATTCTTGGAGAACATGCACCTCACCAGCGATCGTGCCACTCTACGCACTACGGCCAACCTTTGGCGCCAATACTATGACGTACCCATTCAATCATCCTCCTCTACGACAACTTCCGTTCCTGTTCTCCCACATCCTGAACATACCAATGTCTACGTCTCTCAACCGTACGAAGCGATACCGGACCAACTTCACATTTTACAGTCATGCTGGGGACGTTCGGCCCAACACCACTCACAAGGTAGGTACCACTATTTCTTTATCTTGGCCACCATGGAGATCTACACCACCTTCTTCGCCATCGGCAACATTTCACCGGACCGCACATTCCAATCGCCCTACCGCTCCTACTCACCATATACATTGCCCACTGGATGCGAACGACCCTGACCCGATGGATATGTCGGATTCCAGTGTGTAATATACCACATCATTTTGCGAAAGAAAAAGGCACTGTGACTTAACGTCGTTTCGTGACTATTCACTAAGTACACCGTCTTCCTCCAATTTTTGATTGTGGGCTTTATTCTTTGATCACTATCGTATTTTTATGTTGCAGCCTGGGCTTTACGCTTCACGCTTGACACTCGACGCCATGGCTCATTCTTCTCGCCCTCACCCATATCGCGCTACATCCAGGGTTGATACACCACAAGGTCCCCGAACTGCTGCATGGCTTGCCGGACACCGAGGCCTTCCTGGTGATGTGGACCCTCTTCCATGCCGACCTGTTCTGATCTTAATTGACTACTCTCCTTTACAGGGATTGACACACCGTAGTGAACCTGATCGTGAACACTACATGGCTATGGCCAGTTCAAATCTCAAGAATGTTAGTGGTTACGAACTTGAAGCTCTTTTTACCTGGTCACGCCAGATGGAACCAACTGAAGCAGGCATTCTTCCCATTCGAGACCTACGTATCGCCATCTCAAAAAGATTGAGGACCCAATGGGACATCCAACTTGACCCTTCGAATTTGGAGTTCCGCTATTGCGACCTGGAAGGTGATGCATTCCAAGTCCCCAATGATTGGACGGTCATGCAGCTTTTGGAAGAATACCGTCCTGACTGGCGAATCCGACAGTACAACTACATCGAATCCACTTTGCTCATCCCAGGTTCCTCACAGCCTTTCGTGCTACGTTTGAGATGCCATAAAGTCAGCCCTGGAGTTATCCTGCCCTGATGTACTCACTGGCAAAAAAGAGTGCTCGACTTGTTCCTTCCATTTAACCTTTGACACTTCATTAACACGGAGGATTCTTTGGATTTCACCTCTCGATTTATTTCCACCTTTTTAGGTTCCGTGCTTTGTCCTTTCCGTGGACTTTGAACAATTCGATTGACCATTGGACATTACTACTATTATTATTCTTTGGCTCGGCGTATTTTTACATTTTCCTGATTCCTCAGCCTTTGGTCGTACCATTTCACGCATTTTCTGACCGTCTCACCCATGGAGCATAAACGTGACGCTACCGTGGCGGGCTTGGCTTGGCCTTCGAATCCCAACCGTGGACTCGCTTCTACAAACCCGGATCAAGTGCCAGATGGCCAGGCTTCCGAACTATGTCATTCTATCACCCCTGACCCTACGACCTCGACCACCTCGGCACCTTCGGCAGCTGACGCTACAACTAATGACATCGGCACCGCGCCCCACGCCGATACATACTCAGGCCCTGCACATCCTGATGTTCCTTTTCCGACTGAGCCAAGTACTACATACCACTACCTCCATCGTGCTCACTTCTCATCCCGCGTGGTCCACCAGATCCACTTCAAGATCATTACCCACTCCAACAATACCAGGGAGTTATTCATCGAAGAGATCCCCATGTCGGGGCTCTCCAAATGTCGTCACCCCGAGCACTACTTTTATGGTCTTTCGGGCAATTGGGAGTGGTCCCTGCGCACAGCGGATTATTGGCGCCATCACTTTGAGATTCCTCTAGTACATGGGCATCATCCTTTTCACAACGTTCCCATTGAGACCACTTCACCTACGGAGGCAACCCGTTTAACTCCGAAGATCCAGGAGCTGGCCAAACAACTTTCAACCACTTTGACGGCTGCAATGGCATCTGGGGAAATCAACGACACGTGGAGGATGGTTGAAGGCATGAGCTTCCGTGACGCGATCCAAGTACTTCAACTTGAAGCGAATTTCCCTTCTGAGTGACTGAACGCGACTATGTACATTAGCACCGGGCAGCCTTTTGGATTTGATTGATTCTGCCGACCTTAGCAGCGATGTTCTTCCAAAAGAATCAAGCCCCGCTACATGCGGGGTGTGTGTGTGTAACATCTGAACAGATGTAAAACTTCTATTGTTCTAATCTTTTCACATTTGCAGGGGGCCAGGAACCCATGACTGTCTGTCCTGGGCAACGAAGACCAGACAGCATGGGGGTGAAAACGTACCTGCGATTTTTTGAACTGTTGAACAAGCTGTTACACTGCGTTGTTTCGAATCTACACGGTTGCCACAATCTGTATTGCCTGCATCAGAACCTTCCTCAGTTTTTCGCCGAAACCATGTCGCCGACAGTATTTTGATTTTTTGAATTATTTCGCCGAACATGTCGCCGATGTATTTGGGTTATTTTATCAAAACCACGTCGCCGATTCATTTATTTATTTTGATGACGGTCTTGGCCATGGAAACCATTCAGGAGAACTTCTAGTATTCGTAGGGTGCATCGTTATTTTCGTTGTTTCATTTCTAATCTGCATGTTTCAGGATTCAGTTCCTGCCGGATCATATAATGATCCATTCTTGTCTAGTGTGTGTGTGTATGACTGTTGGTGTCTCATTTACCATTTAACTGTATGTTGGAACCTTTTTTCTGCCAGTCTTGTTGCTGACATGATGGGTTGTGTCACATTGCACACAAAGAATGGAACGACAAGTTGTTGCTTGTTGATGTTGGTCATCAATACCCATTTGTATCCACACACTGGAATAGCTTCATCTGTTGCTGTTCTCCATTGCGGCCCTTGCCCATGTTGGAATGTGTACATGTGTGTTGGGCGCAAACCATGGTGGGCAGACATGTGTTGCTGCACCACTGTCGATCATGATTTCGTGTTGTGGTGCTGTCAGCGCAAGTTGTGGTGTATTTTGGGGCTGTTGGTATTGTTGCCCAGTGTCCTGGTAACAGCCTGTTTGGTCACTGTTGTACCAGCTGGCATCGTAGCCATTGTTTGGGTAATACAAGTGTGCCGTGTTGTCATGTTGGTGCTCATATGTTGTGTCCGACAAGTTGTAGACCGCTGTTTTGCAGTCTTTGGCCAAGTGACCTGGTTGGCCGCATCTGTAGCATACTGCCATTGAGTTCTTTCCTTTTCCTTGGTTGTTGGCTCCTTTGTTCTTTCCTTGTCCTTTGTCTGTTCCTGTCACTGGTTGCCACACGTGTTTTCCTTTTGCTTTTCCTTTTGCCTTGCCGTATCCTTTTCCTTTTCCTTTGTATCCTTTGTTTCCTTTGCCTCTGCCTCCTTTTCCTTTGTATGTTGCTGAAATGTCCACTGGAGCCTGTCCTCCACTGTGGTTTGCGCTAACTAACTGCTGAGGGCGCCTGCTGTTGAAGCCTTGCAACGGCTGCCGTTGTCCTGTAGTACTCTGTGATGATCTCTCTGATCATGGCGTATGCTGGTGCTTGTCCTGCATTCAGGTGTAGATGCTGTTGCAAAGGGCCTGGTCTGGAAGTTGTGTGTTGTTGTCTCGCTCATAGGCTCGGCCTCGAATTCCCATGTTGAGAAAGACTCCTCAAAGTTGTTGTGGTTGAAGTTGGCTTGAGCAACTTTGTGAGATAGCCTACGCTTCTTGTGTTCCCAGAGGGATGGAGAAGCGTTGGCAAAGTTGCCTGTATACTTCAAGACCCATTGCTGCTTGGTGTTGTCGGCACACCGTTGCTGCTGCAGCTGATGTTGTGCTGATTAGGATGTGCTTGAGGTTGTTGGCTAGCTGTATCCAGCGTTCTGCTTCCTCAAGTGTTCCTGCTGCGGCTGGTAGTTCTGCACCTGTGCGTACTGTTGTTGCCCTTTCTGCTCTTGCTAGCAGGCCAGGGTAGATGCTGTCCTGTATGCCCATGTAGGCAGTGAATTTGTACGTCCACGCCTCAAACGTTGCATAGTTTCCGTCGTATGTTGGTGGCTTCAGCTTCAGTCTGTGTGTTGAGGCAAGTGCGTCTGATGCTTCTTCGTTTGCTGTCATTGGTGTTCCGATGTTCTGGCCTGTTGCCATCTCTCCTTGTTGAGGGTCCCGCACACTCTTGAGTTGGGATCAAACCCTTCTCCTTTCTCCTCGCGTGCTGTTTGTTGTAAAGTCTGTTTCCTCTCTCCTGTTGCTGCAGTTGTCTGTTGCTTGTTGAGGGCCCCGCAGTGCCGTGGGATCAAGCCCTCTTCTGTTGGGCTGCTACTCAAGTGCTCCTTGTTATTGCCTGTTGTGTTGGAGCTCACCTGGATGCTTCCACTGCTGTTGCTGTGCGCACCTTGTCCTGTACTGTTGGCTAGGCTCAAGGCCTAATCACATGTTGGCACGAGATTCACAACTGCACAACGGATGCTGGGGTGTGTTTTCTTAACATATTATATAGATCAGTTTCCATTGTGGTTTCAGATCTATCAGACGCAATCACAAGCAAGCCACCTGGAGTAGAATAGCCCTTCATCCAAATCCTTGCCTGGAGATCTTCTTGATGATCATCCTGGAGAGGGTGACCAGGCGCGCTTCTGAAGGCTTTATGAGAACATTTTTTTCTGGGAGCAGTGGAGCACTGACAATTTCTGAGGGCAGATGCTTGGCCAGGATGAGCACAATCCTTTTGCTGTGGAAGCTGAGCTTGACGGGATGCAACCGCAGCCAGTTGAAGCTGTGGTGGCCGAGCTTGCTGCCGCTGCTGCAGAAAGCGCTGGTGAAGGAGAGGAAGGAGAGGAAGGAGAGGAAGGAGAGGAAGGAGAGGAAGGAGAGGCGGAACAAAGAACTGAGTCGCCTGAGGTGTGTGAGGTGTTTGAGGTGCCTGAGGTGCCTGAGGCGATGGCCTCCCAAATCTTGGGAGATCCGTCGGCGAAGCAAGCCCATTTGGATCATGCAGATGGAATGGAAACAGAGCATTTGACCGAAACGTTAGGGGAACCAGTGCTGCCAAAGAGCCACGAGTTCAGCAACCTTTCATTTGATCCACTGGTGCAAGAGACGAAGCCAACGCAACTTGCTCCTTCTGAAAGAGACGCTGTTCGAGCTCTTGATGAGCTGACGACGGAAGCGCCGCTCTTGTCTG